TTTTGCACAAAAAAAAAAAACAGGGAGGGAAGTTTTTTTTTTTTTTTTCTCCCCTCATCTATTCCCTTTTTTTTTTTTTTTTTTTTTACTTCTCTGTTTTAATTCACTCTGATGTACCACTGGATATTGGCATAATGATTTTTAATCATACAATCATGTAAATGTTTCTTGTCTGGCAGATTTGAATATTCTATTTCCCTGCACAGGGGATAGTTATGTAACTTTGATGTGCTCTGCTGAGTAAATTGTAAGTCATTCAATGTTTGATGTTAAGTCAAATGAAGGATGCGGACATTCAAGGCAACGTTGATGATGGAGCAGATCCAGGGAAGCGTGGGCAGCCCAGCTGTTTCTCTCCTTGACATCTCAAGAAATTTGCTCATGTTGAAAGGGCTGATGTGGCGCGGTTTTCCAGTTGCTAAGAGAGTCAGCGTGCACAGGCAGAAACTGCATGCGGTGCGCTGTATGAAAAGCTCTTACTCAAAATTGTGTACCAATGTCTTGGCAGTAATCTGTGGCCAGTCAGTCCATTTAATCTTCATGTGACCCTGTCAAATCCAAATCAAACACATGCTGGCAAACTTCCATAAAAGGGTCTTACATTTCTGGTCTCTTTTGTTTTGAAGAGCCAAGACATTTCTCCCTAATCCATAACATCTTCAGTCTCCTTCTCTTCTCTAAAATGTCTTGTGTCACATTTGACTGTAACTCAAAGCTCGGCACACATTGAAATAATGAAATGTTGGGTAAATTGGGCACAGCGATGGCACGGGATTACGTTCCAACCATGTATGCCTTACAGGTTCGAGTCCTGGACTTTTGCCGCATGTCTTCCTTCTCTCTCACAACCCACTTTCCTGTAAAAAAAAACAGTTAAATAAAAACCACTGGAGCCAACAAAACCCTTGAAAAAATGTTGGGTGAATTCTTATGTGACTAAAAAAAGAAAAAAATATTGCTATGCTAACATGAGCTGTACTATCAACCTCCAAAACAAGTATGCTTAGCTGCAGTGCAAAGTATCAGAAGATAATCATATTTTGATGAACAATATATATAAAGGAGGGATTTGTTTCAAAAAAGGCACATTCCTTCTTCCGAAGAATACTGTGTAATTCTCAAAAAGAAATGAGTTTGATCCAATAAATTAACTACATGTACTCATCATGCATGATATTTATTTCTAATCATGTTAATTAGAAAAAAAAACATTATGCATGATTATGTGTAGAAATCATGCAAAATATGACAACAGAAAATTAGAAAAAATGCAAATGAAAAGAGGAAAGTTTATGTGCAGAGAGGAATGGTTAAATATCCCTGTATCTGTATGCTCCCTTGTTTAAAAAAACAGTTAAATTGAAGACTAAGTGCTGTGTTTAGACACAGGGCAGTTATATAAACATAGCAGTTATATATTACACTGTACAAAATGACTGATGTTTGTTTTTATTGCACAAAATAAGCTTGTCAAAGAGCAGTTTTTTTCCTCTCATGTATTCTTAAGACGTGCAAGGGTTTTCCTCATTATCTACTTGCAGCGTTTGGTGCTTAGTTATGCTTTTTTTTTCCTGCTGAGCCAAACACCAGCTCATCTCTCTTATCTGACTGACTGACTGACTGACTGACTCTCCTCCCCCCACCTCCCTCCTACCCTATTCTGTCCCTGCAGCGGCTCTGGGTATCGCCCTGACCAGTGGCTGCGCGACATCCAGACACTGTCAGCAACAAGAGCTGCCGGGGGTGCGAATTCACTGCTGCGACTCCGACCTGTGCAACAGCACCCCGCTGTGGCATCCGAGCACACTCCACTATGTCTGTGCACTGGGTGTCCTGCTGCTGAGGATGTGGTGGTGATGAGAAACTAGAATCGGGACAGGCATCACTGGATTGCACATCTCACAGGCTCAATGAGCGCGTTATTCGGCGCAGTGTTGCTTGAAAGCAGCTCTTAGAGATAGGTTCTGTTGGCTCGGACTATGAATCACAGAGAGAACGACCCATAAAACATGTTTGAGGAAAATAATTGTTTAACATCTTTCACCCATCAGAGATCTTCTTGTGCACTTGCACCTATTTAAATGTAGCGTCAAATATGACATTTTCTAGAACATTTATGTTAGAGTTTTACTGTCAGTAAAAAGAAGATTTAGCCCAGTTGTGTCCAAAGGCTGGTTATCCTGCATGTTTTAGTTCTCTTCCTGGTCCAGCACATCTGAGTCAAATGATGATGATTAGGGGGCATGTGCAGAACTTTGATATGCAGAGGAGGTGATTGGACCATTTGAATCAGCCGTGTTGGAGCAGAGACGTCCCTAAAACTGGCAGGACCCTGGCCCTTGAGGACTGGTGCTGAACACACATTATTAACCCATAAATCATTTAATTAATTTAAAAAAACACAACTTGAAAATAACCAACGAAAAACATAAATAACCCATAGAAAATGACCCATGGCAATGCTGATTTCAGCTTTACAAAGTCTTACTTCTACTTGAAGGCCTGTCTTTTTTTCTGTTTTAAGGATTTTGCTATATTTTTTCAAGATCAAACATACGTTTGGTCTGGTCTTTTAATGTTACGGGCTATTTACTTTATACATTAAAAAATATATATATTTTTTTTCAGTTTATGTCACAGCACTGCAGGCCAGCTGGTGGCAAGCAAACTTTATGTAAGTCTTCTGTGAAATATCTTAGTGAAAGCATGTAATATTGTGAATTACATCAATAAATGTTTCATATTTTTCAAAAGAAAGGTGATTTGACGCTGCCTTTATTTTTCATGGCAAGATAAGCAACTACATCAAATCCAGCTTTGTCAAATGTGTAAGTCTGAGGCCATCCTTATTAACTTGAAAACAACAGGTTACTCTGTGAGTGTAGGAGATCAATCTCTACCTCAAACACAGGGGTTCTAGATCTTGACATCTTTGTTTAGGAATGATGGTAAAATGCAGCGAGATAGATGGGGTTCTCCTACAGTACAATACATTATCCTATGTTGGCAATGCTCCAAACCAATCCATAAAAATTAGGGTCTAAATTTAACTTTCAACTCTCTACATTCCTTTAAATATGCTAATCAGACATGGATCTTGACCAAAAGAATGAGATTTAGATACAGATGGGGAAAATGAGATGAGATCAGCCTCGGAGATGAGGTTAGGTGCTCAATCATCCAAATGGAGTTCAGAATAGAGATGGAAAAGTTTCAGGAAGGTTCATAACCTCGCAGTCTTAGGAGTAACAGAAAGGCTTAGTATGATACAGTACAATACAGTATCTTATGGCACAATAATGCCTTACTGCCAGAACATATCTGAAATTTGTCTTACCTGGAACGTCATTTGTGGGATGTTCCTGGTATATTTGTCAAAAATGGTCCAAATAAAGAATACAACAGGCTCACAGGTGCACAAACAAAAGTTGACATGTTAAGTCCAATCAGAGAAGATGCTGTAGAAGACGTTGTACCTTTACAATTTTACTTTAACAACGAATTAAAAATAACTACATTTAGTTTAGCTACCGAGAAAGGATCACAGTTTTCATCTGTTGAATTAGGTCTTTGCAACCTGCAACTCCAGAGCCGAGGAAGGTTCTTTGGCTCTGTGGCTGACTATGTAAAACAATGGGATATGATAAAATAATGAAAGCAATTAAATATTTCCTATTATTTCGTTCTGTGCTCTCATAAAGGAACACTGACCTTACCCTATCCGCTCTGGTAAACTTAGTCTGGAACCACCAATGGTTTGTGTCAGAGAAATCAAAGAAGGTGGCCTGGACTCATGATTCACATTTTCTTTTACATCACATGGACACCTGCATGCATGTGTTCGATCTTACAGGGAAACACATTGCACCAGGATACAGCATGGGAAGAAGCAGGTCGGAGGAGAAATCGGAGATCCTTTTGGCAATGATCATGGGTCTCGCCTATTTCCAGCAAGTTGTAGATGTGGGGTACAACTTGGATAGGTCGCCTGACCATCACAACCTTAGACCTTTAGATTTTCACCACCAGTCAAGCATCTGGTGGTGGTCCTTGACAAAAAGTTCAGTCCATGAAGGCCTCAACTTTCAATCTACAGCATTTAAAGAAACAGTTGCAATTATCTTCCAAATTTCAAATCAAATCCCTACGTGTGCAGGTTATCATATTATTATTATTTATTGGTGTGTATGGAGTAAGTGTAAAGCAGCTTTTGCAGAAAAAATACAGCAGTGACTTCACAATCCACACATAAGGCCATAGACAATAAAGCTAAAAATTATTTTTTTATTTATTTGCATTCATAAAAAGTCTTACTTTGTTTTCTATATGGATTTAATGTTATCTCCAGAGATATTATAATATAAGGTTTAGGTTATCTCGTCCATTCTGACTCCTACTGATAGTGCCTAAACAGCAAATCGCCGCATACGAGGTTCTTTGTCCCAGAAACCCATTGTATAGAGCTGAGGAAACCCTGTGCCGTGAGCAGCCATCTTGAGCCAGGATAACCTGCAAACCTCTTCTGAACAGCTCCAAAACGCCTAAAGATTTAATTCCTGGTAAGGACAGACAATGGGGATTATTTAAATGCAACCTTACAATGGAATTATGTTGAATAAACATGGAGGCACACATGTTTAACTCAGTGATCTGTAGAAATTGGGTAGCATTAGCTGTATTTGCCAGGATACAACCAAGTGGAAAGCTAACGGAGCTTGTTAAGAGAATGGTTGTTTCATTTATTTAATAATGTGGACTCTTATCTAGTTATTAGTGTGGAAAATCACCTCTCATGTGCCGTATAACTTGTCTTCTTTAGGATCACAAGATACATTTGCAACGCGTCTATTAGCTGACAAATCACCCTGCTAACGCTAACGCTAGCCGACATTAGTCTGTTTAGTATTTGCAGAAAATAAAGCTGATCCCAGATTTGTTTTTGGCTTTCGATATTCTCACACAGTAAGAAATTGTCTTGAAGTGTGAAAATGGTGGCAAGTGCGTTCCGTCTTGTTTTTGTAGCGTTTGTTTTCGAGAAACACATTGACGTCAGCTAGGTAATAAGCTAGAGCTAATGCAAACTTCGCTTTCAAAACACCTAATCTAGAGCTGTTTGATCAGATTCGACCGTATGTGTTGTTTTTTCACTTCAGTGTATGGCTGCATTTCCTTTTATGTCTGCTTGCAGATTTTTTTTGTCTTTTTATGTCTCAATAAAGCAATAAACTAGTAAACCCACCGCTGTTTTTTGCCGGTTGTCAAGCTAATGTTAAGCTAACCTGAAATTTTCAGGTTTGAACATGTCAAATTAAAACATTTACGTCTATTACCCCACATGTTCAGTTCTGGATTCGCTGTTTGTAATTTTTGTGTATTTATAAAGGAGTGAAAATGGATAAATAGAACAGCATTATACACAGTCTACTGCTAACTCGTAGCCATCCGTGTATTAGCCACCTCTTTTGGTTTTGTTTTGAACAAAATAAAAGTGCTTATGTGTGAATATATACATTTTGAAAAAAATAACTTATTGTGGAGAAAGTTTTTTTTTTTTCAATTGAATATCTTTGCTAGCCATGTTTTAAAATGCTGCATCATTTCATTGATCTGTGCGTTAATCACTTAAACTACTGCGATCACATAATTTATTGTTTAACACGACATCGTTATTTAATATATGCGGAGTTTTAACACCGTACTGCAAGTTTTCATTAGGACTTGGTGGCACATGATTTCATCAAGGGGCCCTGCATGTCAAGTAGAAGTAGTAGCTACATAATTTGCATGCCACAATTTTTCTAATCCTTAAGCATTCATCCTTTTCGATTAAAAATGAATGTGGTGATTTATATTAAGATATTGCATACGTAATTGTTATTGCATACTTTTTTGCAGCGGCAGCAGCTTGGTAAAATAAACAGGAAAGGGTCGTTATAATGACATAAACAATAGACTGTAAGACCTAGTCTGGGAGTTTGGGGTCAGTCGACTGTTTTTCTACGGAACTACTCATTGTGGCATCGAATCAAATGTATTTAAAGCGCATTTACAGCAACCGGATTTAACCAAACTGCAGAATATTGCATTAAGTTTTTTTTTTTTACAACTTTGCCTGCTGTGATTTGACATCTAGGGTAATTTTATAATTAAACTTATGGAAAAGGTAAGGTACAGATAAAATACTTCAACAGAGCCACTTCTACATTTTTTTTTTTGTAAAATCATTTTTTTTATTAACAGTGGAGTAAAATAATGATAAGAAGTTAAACAGAAAACATTTTTCTTCAAGTTCTGTATTCTCTTGTCGTGATTGCAACAAACTCTAATATTGCAATTAAAACTTGATTCTATATTGCTCATCCCTTATAGCAACCCTTGATTTCTTTTAGACGTTTCCTGATGAATCATCACAAGTTAAACGAACCATGAACGGAAAAGGATGTGATCTCAGTAGAGGCCAATGAACTTCTTCACTAGAAAGAGACTTGATGTCTGAAAAGAATATGAAAAGTGCTGAAGCTGCATTCTGATCACATGGCCTTGACTTTTCTACATATTGATGAATACTCATCCTTTCTCTCTCTCTCTTTTTTTTTTTTTTTTTTTTTTTTTTTTTTTACCACAAATCTAGTTTTTACTCTTGCTGGGAATATGCACTCTAAGAGATTATCTCCCTGTCACACTTGGGATGAGGTGGGCACATGAGGGTCACGTGATCAAATTCTGTCAAAGACCTAAAGCGCTCTGCTGGGATGTTAAAGGCACTACACTGACTGGCTCATGGTCCATAATCACCTCAAAATTTGGATACAGAATTTTCAATGTCTGGGACACGAGCCATTTATTTAATAAACTTCCCTTTTCCCATCATGTTATGTCAGCATCTGACGTGATGAAATTAACTCTGATGGATAGGGTGAACTCTAGAGTCCTGGTGAACATATGTAGCTTAGTAAAACTGACTGTGTTCTTTATCATACTATCAAATTTGCGTTGAATGTACCTAAGCAACAGATGACGCATATATAAACACTTATTTTATGTTGTCCTAAACCACTACTGGTTCTTTTTAGCCAGTAGTGTCGGTGCTGAAAAGCAGGTCGGATTGCAGTTCGTGGAGGGCTTTCAGTGCGAGCCAAGTCTTTTCTTGGGCCATTAGCAGAAACACAGATTGTACTTGAACATCACAAGATGTTGATATGTAGGTTCACATTTAAAAGGCTTGTGCTTTTTCCACTTTTCATAAATGATAAAAAGTGGAGAAAATAGTAAAAAAAAAAAATGTTGTTTAATGTCAACAAAATTGCTAAGTTTTAAGCAACTTCTTAATCAAAAACATTTCTCTACCGCTGTGAGGTAACTGGACTGGACATGGGTGAAACGTTGCTTTCCAAGAAAAACCTTTGGAAAAAATCCAAAGCCTGAGGACCTGTTGTTCAAGACCATTTGGAAATGCAATTTTGGCTTCTTGGAAGCAGAAAAATGAAAGAAGCATGACTTGACTGATAGACACAGGTTTGTTCATGTTGCAGGTGTGTCGCAATAGATGAAAACCTGCACTTGTATAATATCCGGTTATGAGACAGTCAGGTTAGTTTATTTTAAATCTGGGCCAAAGTGTTTATTTAAGTCACTCAAAACAAATCGGTGTATACAATTCCAAAGTTTATTTGGTCGGAAAATGTTCATGTTATTTGTAGCCACGTCCCTTTGCTTCCAGTTTAGTACAAGCCTTTATCTGTTCTCTTGTCGCTTGTGTCATTTTCCTCCTGTGCTTATCTTATCTCGGCCCATCCACATTTCTGTGCAGTTGTGTCAGCAGTAGCCCAGCCAGTCAAACATGGTCACTTTGCTGCAGGTGCCGAAGTCTGAGCGAGTACGCCAGACAGTTCTGGGTTGTGATGTGGCACAGTGATGTCAGCTGCAGAGAGCTGCAGCTCAAATTAGTCTGAACCTTCACTTGCTGAAAAGCACGGCCTTCAGGCACACCAACTTTGAGCGAGGAGGAGGAGAAGAAGAAGAGGAAAAAATGGTCCTTTCGACAAAGTCTGATAGTATTTTCAGCCCCCAAAAAGAGCCTAAATGTCTGGAAATGGCTTCATGTAATCAGTGAATTTGATGTTAAAACTCAACTGAATTATCCTGCCTAATTATAGTGATCGTTTTTCTCACTTAATAAAATGAAATTACCACCCGACGATTATTTTTCAACTTTGATTGCACCACGTCTAGCTCACGCCGTCGGTAAATCGTGAGGATGACGTCACTGGAGTCGGTGGCAGCCTGCTCCGTTGCGAGTTAGAGTTCCCTCTCCCAGTGAAAGCTTATTAATCTAAAATGAGAATCTGAGAGCCACGAAGCCCTAACAAACCACTAATTCAGTCAACATGAGTCTGTAGGCGGCGAGGAAGATCCCTGGCGTTTTGTTGTGGGGGGGTTAAAGAAAGCAAGTTGAGACACACTTTCATCTTAAAAATATCTGGAGTTTTTGAGTAAACCTAAATGCTTTTCCATCCGTGTGTCGTCCACAGGCGGTGACTTTAAGATGAAAACTTATAGATTAGTTGCACTAACGACGGTGTGGATTAGTAAACCGGTGGAGCGGGGGCGGGGGGGGGGAGATCTTTCATGGATAATCGAGTGTGAACAGCAGATGGACGGTGTCAGAGCTTTTATCTATAGTTGTATCTATAATAGTGAATGTGTTCCTGTGTGATTAGAGGAAAGAAAGAGGTTCTGTTTAGTCCACCTTTATTTCAGGGGTTTATCATCATGCTGTGGCATTTCAGTAGCTATGACGTCACTGATTTTTCAAATCGGGATAAAAGACCGGTCAGATTTTTTTTTATTAGTTTCCTTCAGAAATCAACTCGGAGTTGAATTGATTTAAATTTTTGCACACTGTTAAGTCCAAACTGATTTCAGCTGTTGGTCCGAATAACCTTAGGAATATGTATCTGTGTTCATCTTACTGTTGTTAGCTGTTAAGTAGCTAATATTATTAGCTATTTTTAAATAATAAAACACATAAGACAAATATTAAAATTAAGTGTCATGATATCCAGTAAATTCACAGTTAAGGATTATTGTCAATATAGACATGCTGGTTTTAATTTTTTTTTTTTTTAGGGATGTAACGATAAAAACATTTTTTTTCATCATAATTATAGACAAATTGATCAGGGTTATTAAAAAAAGGACTATAAACAACGTAATATTTTTTGAGAATCTTGGAAATTGCATGGCAGTAATCATTAAATCGTTTTTCATCTCTACTCTGTATTAATGCTGCACAATATATTGAATTTACGTTATTGTGCTTTTAATATTCATTGTGCAAAGGAATGAATTGGTTTCACCAAATTGTTGCCTAATATTTCTCATGTGTGACCAGTTTGCGTTTCACACGTTGATGTGATATTTATGCAGTTGGGCAGAGTTTCAGAGCAGCAGATGTTCACACCGGACACAAATGACTTTGCTCAAAATGCCAAAGGTCACCGAGTGAAGGCGGGACAGATGAGAATGAGAGGACAAGACAAAATGGACGCATATCACAATCGCAATATTAACCAATTTTATCATCATTGCAGGATTTTATATGTGTATATCCTGCAATCTATACGTCAATGTGAATGTTTTTTGAGTGTGTGATGTTATTGACAGTTTGTCAAAATCAATACTGGTTGTCACGTTGAAGCTGGTATCTGTTATCATTCATAAGGCTGACGTACTCAGGAGTGAGTTTTTCTGAAAACATGCGGAACGAAAGTCATTCAGTCTCTGTTTTAGCGTTTATTTTTCCATCAATAAATATGAATAATGTGGCCTTCTTTAAATCTGATGTTGGCAGCTGAAGCCCAGTTCTTCTGTTTATGTCATATTTGCTGATTTGCTGAAAACGCCCTCTCCGTTTTCATTCCAGAGCCACCATGGCCACTGCACCATATAACTACTCCTACATTTTCAAATACATCATTATTGGTAAGTGACCTTGCTTAAATTGTCTGCTTTAAAAAGAACAAACAAAAAAAAACAAAAAAAACATTATACTTACATTTAATAAATGTCTTAATTCCTTTTACTGCTCTACATATAAGCCTTTTACTTTAAAATGCATAACATCAACAAACACTACCACTACTTTGTTTTTGTTTATTGAACTGCTGGTTACGTACTTGGCCATTACAGTTGGAAGCAGAGACCAGATGAGTGTAGAAATGTACAATTTATGGCAAAATGAGCCTTGCATTCATAAAAAAAAAAACATGGAATTCATAAACATCTTCCCCTTGCCCCCCCCTTTTTTTTTCTTTTTTTTTTTTTGTACGACGGCCTGTGTCTTATTAGTCCATGAGATGTAAAGCGTTGCTGTTGTATGGGGGTCAACACTGCAAGCTTGGATAGAAATGATAGCTCCTCTGTTTCCTTGGTTAACCTGAGTCTCTGTCTCTCTCTCTCTCTCTCATTAGGGGACATGGGGGTAGGAAAGTCCTGTTTGCTTCACCAGTTCACAGAAAAGAAATGTAAGTTCTTCTCGTGATTTTTAACTCCTCCGTGTGTCTTTGTGTGCACCTCAGTGCTTGCGAGGTTGCCAGAATATCTCTGGAGAGCCTAAACCTCTTTAGATTTCTTTTTTTACACCAGCGGATGTCGGCGGCGGAGCAGATGAATGGTAGCTCAACAGTGAGAGTCTCTTCTCCTGTGTATGAGCCAGCTGCAGCCTCCCATTGCCATTCAGCTCAGTTGTGTTTAGTGCCACTATTAAAAAGCCAGATGTAGTGTTTCTCATTCATGTCTATAATCACATCCTGGACGAATCCACACACACACACGATAGATTTTTTTTAAATATTTTTTTTTTTTGAAAAGGTTCATTTGAAGCAAAATTTAACCTTTTTTTGGCTTGTACTTTGCGTACAGCTTAAATCCTCGACGCACCTGCTGCCAGTTCAGAGGAATTCAGCTAAAATGCAAAAATGTATGTTTACCTTCATCCTATACAATTTACAAGGGGGGGACAAAAAGCATCAAACGTCATTTTGCAAAATGGATGAAAAGGTTCGATTCACGTCCAAATGCATAAGAGCCCGTTCAGTCGTGCACAGTCGGATTCAGATCATGAAATGCCAATCAGAGAAAAGTTTCCTCCGATTGCGTCATACATTTTCATGTGGCTGTGGATGATTTATTAGGTGCAAGGAGGACTGCGAACAATTAATACTTTATTACAATAGATCCTGCAGTGTCAGCAGGATTGTGCCGCTCGTGGCTTTAAAACTGTCATTTCAAAACAACGTAACATTTCACTTCCAAACTGCTGCCGTGTTTCTTCCGAGGGGAAAAACAAAAATGCTTGAGCAACAGGCCTTGTGCCTTATTAGGTGAGCTTTCAAGTAGAGCATCACGGCAAACTTAAAACAGCTTAAGAAAATTCTGGTGACTCTGACTTTTCCTGGCATCTCGTTTAAAGGATGTTAAACTAATAGGAATGACTTGGTAGAAAAATAACTTTTCAAAATCCTTTTTTATGCACTGAAGCTTAGCTTGCCGTGGATATAGACCTGTTCAATAAATTAGAATATTTTTCAAAAGTCAATTTATTTAAGGAATTTTATCACTTAAGCGAAACACGTTACACACAAGACAAAATGAAAATGTATTTAAAATTAGAATATTGCATCAGACTAATAAGAAACTTTTTAATACAAAAATGTAGCCGTAATTAAAAGTGTGTTTAGCCTTTCCAAAAGATACTTTTAATCTGACAAATGAACCTCATTGGAATGTGTATTCTAATTTACCGAGTGCGACTGTGGTTAATATCATCGTTCTTCAAAAAAAAAAAAAAAAAAAGCTACATAAGTAATGAAAGAAAAGCAGTGCAATAACATGGCAGTCAGCATGTGCTCCAGCAGTATTACTAGAGTGGCTCTTCATAATCAAAGCCACTCTGGAGTAAAAGAACTAAACTAAATACAGACAGATGAATGTATAGCTTGGCTACTATCTGGAGAGCAATTGAAATATAAAATCGAGTTAGGCTTATAAGGGCTGAACAAAATTCTGAATATCTCTCAATTTGCTTAGGATTTATAAGTTTAGTTAAACTTATTTATACCCTCCTAATTATGCTTGTAACGTGAATGGAAAAAAATAAAACCCCAACAAAAAACGGAGCACCAAACGAGGATGACGATGTACGAGGATTAGCAAAGAACAGTAAACGGTTGTATGTGATTATTAAAAAAAAAAAAAAATATATATATATATATATATATATATATATATATGATCTCACTTCAGTCTTTCTTGTTGTCCAGTTATGGCAGACTGCCCTCATACAATCGGCGTGGAGTTCGGGACGAGGATAATCGAGGTGAGCGGACAGAAAATCAAGCTGCAGATTTGGGACACGGCAGGACAGGAGCGCTTCAGGGCCGTCACCCGCTCCTACTACCGCGGGGCTGCGGGGGCACTTATGGTCTACGACATTACCAGGTAGGCTGCCGGTTCTCCTTTCTTCGCACTTTTTGCATGATTCTGACGTAAAAAAAAAAAAAACGAAAGAAGTTGGCATTATGTACTTGAACATAATGTGCATGTACGAGGAAGACGGAGAGCTGCAGCTGATTAGTGTCGGGGACGGTCTGTCCTCAGCTGTTTGATGGTATCGCAGGTTTGCAGCAGTTGCATTTGTGAATCTGTAAGTGTCCTCCACGGGGAAAAATATGCAGCACAAAATGTTGCTGCTGCTTTACAAATGTTCATTTCCTGTTATCAAAGGGTGTGCCTCGCAAAGACTTGATATTATCACGTTTTCCCCTCATGTGGCGTTGTCTCCAGCTTAGAAAGCATTGCTTGTTTGAGAGAAAACAATAGAGGATTAAGAAATCAGCGTTGGATTATACTGCTTCTGACGAACCCATTTAATCCTCAAATTTTTGCACGCCTGTCCATGTTGTCGTCCTGCAGGAGAAGCACTTACAACCACCTGAGCAGCTGGCTTACTGACGCCAGAAACCTCACCAACCCCAATACCGTAAGCATACACACATATTTACACTCTGTTATTGCATATAATAATACAAATTTAAAATATCTCTTCGTCTTTAGATTTTTTTTTTTTTTTTTTAGACTTTATTGTAACCAGGTTTTTTCCCCTTAGTTACTCCATCTTTTCTTCCTCTACCATTTTGTTTTCCTTCAGTTTTACTGGAAAAGCACAGGCCTGGTTTCTTAACTAGATCTTTCTTGGCAAATTTGATTAACTCTAAATCATCCAGCTCTCCATCAGAGAAGTCTGTGCTTGTGCAACAGGCCACTTCTATTTCAGGCTCCTTGAAATGCATCTGGTGTTTCATCCGACCTTAAACGGGACGTCACACGCTTCCTGCCATTAAAGTACGCTTTACTAAATGGACTTCAATGGCCACTATTAATAATTTCAAACGGAATTTACAGCTAATTATTCCACTTGAAAAGTTTTTATAGGATATGTCTTTAAGATTTTTTTTTTTTTGTTTTGCATATAAAGCAGATCAAAATCAGTTCAGACATAACACGCACTTGACGTGAAATGCATCGACAGTGGGTTACATGCACTTTTTTTTTATTTATTATTTTTAATGTATTTTTCACTGAAATTACTTCTAGAGACCATAACTTTTAGTGTGAATGCTCAACGGCTCCATAATAAACTTTGTGCTGTAGAACAATAATCCTAATATGTTAAGTTTTAATTATCTTAAGCAGCTTCTAAATTCTGACTCTGAATCATGTAGTTTCTCCATAAAGTTGATATTTCTAGAGATAAATATGAGATTGGTACATTTAGAGATCTTGCGATGATGCGGCTGCTAGGCAACCGACCCCTATGTCTTCCCCAGGCCGTCTCTGACCTTCTTTTCATAGATAAGTGAAGTCCAGCCTTCCTGCACGTTCTTCAGCCTTATCTGCTCACACCGCGTCAGATTTGTCCCCGACAGAAACGAGCGTGCAGGAGATCGTCTCACTCCTCCTCTTCCTGTGTCGTCAGGTCATCATTCTCATAGGAAACAAAGCCGACCTGGAGGCCCAGAGGGACGTCACGTATGAGGAGGCGAAGCAGTTTGCTGAGGAGAACGGTGAGCCAGACGCAGAATCAAAGCCCAAAATTTCTCAAGGAAATATTCCGATTTAAGGATTGAAAGTGGTTTTTCTTTTCCGTTTCACTGTTATGATTAACTTTCATGTCAGACCATAACCCGAGGTTTCAATTGAGGGGGG